AGTCCCCCGTCAATTGTGCTGGCTGTGTCGCCCCTGACAGCCATCATGAAAGACCAGGCTAGTGCACAGATCTAAGAAGTAGCTGACTTGTATAGTAAACCAGTACATCTTGCAAGTAGCCAATCTTTCTGCCAAAGGGCTAAAAACATGCTGCATCAAAGGGCCCAAGGAAGATCCCTGCCATGAGCATACCGGAAGCTGTACTGATGGGGTAGTTCTTTTCACCCCAGAGATGCTAGTTGAAAAGAAATGATGGAGAAAAATGCTACTTGGAGATGTATTCTCGTCTCGTCTACGAGCCTTTGTGGTTAACGAGGCTCATACCGTTCAGAAATGGTCAGTGTAGTTTCTTTGCAGCTACATACTTTATAATGTCATTATAGGGGTGAAACGTTTCGAACAGTCACTGGTGAAATTCGCAGCCTAATACCAAGAGCTGTGAGAGGATCACATTTCCCCGAGCACTCGTGTACTGCAGGCATTATGAAGATTGCGTAGAGCTTTACCAGTTCAAGAATGCTCTTGCAGCTGACTTCACCGAACCTCCTGGATCACCAGATCTACCAACTGGTAGATATGTACATGAGCTGTACTGAGGAGGTAGTGAAATCAAAGCCTTTACTCACAACACTAGCCTATATATTGTTGCTGCCACTGTTGCATTCGGTATGGGGGTTCATTGTTTTGAGGTAATTCACTTGGGCCTCCCAGATGACACAGAGTCATTGTCCAGGAAACTAGGCGTGCAGGGCGTGATGCTTTACCTGCTTTAGCACTTTTGTTGCTCAAACCTGGCTCTGCAGACATGCAGAAAGAAGTGTTGTTAAATATTCACTATACTCAACCGAGTGTCGAAGAGATGTTTTACTTCATAACTTTGATAGATATGCTCATATACATATGGGAAAGTGTTTGTGCTGTGATGTTTGTGCCAAGTACTGTCTGTGCGGTAGATGTCATAGGAATTATGCCTGATTGGTATTCATTGGAAGAAATAAAATTGGAATATCATGCTAAGTGACAAGTATTGATGGGCAACATTAGGGAATGTGTTCTGTTATCCACTGACACAATTTTTTGGGAAACTTAGGTGTGTACGACTCTCAAGAGAAGAAAATATGTCACATTGCTGCAACTGCAGAATGATTCGGTCCCTGTCTTTGTCTGATTTGGGTGCACGATGAGTGCCACATTCATCCCGAACATGATTCTCCAAATCAAATATCGCTGCAAAACTGGAGAGAGAGTACCTAGAGCATTACCAGCACGTATTATAACTGTTTCAGTCTTGTTTCACCCAAATCACTAAAGGCAATCTTGCAGATGCGGTTTAAGTGCTCTAGGTGGAGGTAACATGGAATGTTCCGTCCCTGAATATTAATAATTCTATTCCACAGTAGTTCGGCTGACTCTGGGGGTTAGCTCATATTCATACTGGTAGAGCATATTCAGCGCATCAATGGAACAGTTTTTGCTGCCTGAGGATTTAAAAATAGCCAGAAGGTATTTCCAGCAGCGGAGCACTCGGCCACCGTTACCCTCACATATACCATCTGAGTACTCTAAGTAGAAGCAACCTAAACTCAATAATTGCTTGCCATACTCCTGTACATGATCGGTAGATATGTGAACATCTGTGTGAAATTGGAAGCCGATGAAGCGATCGACTATCTTCTCAGTGACGTGTTTTAGCACCTCCTTTTGCTCTGAATCTGGTAGTATCCACAAATTATGTGGTTCAGTTTGAAGTTCAGTTTAAAGCAGAGGTAGAAGTGGGGTGTTATCGAGAGAGTTCATAACTAAAACCTTAAGGGATGCTGTTAGGATGTGACAAGTAACAACCAAGATAATGGAAGTCATCACAAGCATTACTGGGTCAGAACATTAAATATAGGATAAGTAGGCGTTTTCATTATTGTTGTCAATGATCTACCCCGAGAAGATTTAGCTTCGTATGCCAATCTTCAGTACATGGGACTAATCCTTCTAGCCTTGTCTGGTGACATGGAGTTCATTCGGATCTTTTGCGCACCTCTGGCCTTCGCGACAGTTAGTTGGTCTCCTCCGAACAATATCTTGTGAAAGATTGCGTGGGGTAGTTCGACACTCTCTTCTACATCTGGGATTGAGACATTGTCTGTGTACTTTACGGTTGGGACGTAATGGTGCAGGTTGGACATAATATCGACCATGTCATCACTCTTGTTTTCATTCTTGCTTAGAATACCAAATGGTACCTAAATGCAGATATTATTAACGGGACGTACACCATGGCTCTTAATACTACGCTTACCACATGTCACTTAGTAGACATCTCAGCATGGTATTTATACACTATGAGGCCATTCTATCTCATCTTCAAAAGACACTGAAATCGATCTGATTCAAAACAGCAAAGTAGTTAATGTAATGCAGAGACTTGTTTTGGCCACCTTCAAAACGCATGTACCGTACCTTTACAAATTTGTCGATGTTGCCTCTCACCAGTTTGTAACTTTGAAGTTGCAGCTGGGTAGATGCAGGAGGGTCAGGTCTCAATACATCTGACTGCTGAGAGCTTGCTGTTTCTGAGACACCTGCATAAGTTCAGTACACTTCGTTAACACCAAATGCACCTGGTCTGTTGATATGCTCATCGGAAGACACTTCAGCAGCAAGCTCTGTCTCAGACTCAGGAGATGAGAGATCAGAGAGGCTCTGTTCAGATGTTATATGACAATATGGTAGAGCAGTGATACTATCTGAGTCTGTTACTGAACCAGATCAGTCAGAGCTTAGGTCACCAGGGGAAGAATGGCAGTTCCTGGTAAGCTCCTAGTGTTTTCATTGTTCTCCTGTGTAATACATGCATGCTATGAACTATAATTTCATGCTACAGGTAATTTACAGGTAGCATTCATGATACCTGTAAATAGTTGGAGATGTGATCAGGGATTCCTGCCAGATTTTGACATTCTCACCATGGCCTTTTCCCAGTGTAGTCAACAGCCGCACAGTGACCTGATGTGACATGGTCACTTTCTGTAGTCGCTCATACACCTGTAAAAGGTTGTGATAGTTAAAATTGTTGTTATGGTGTTTCACTGCAACTCACTTGCTTTCCACTGTGACCTCCATAGAGAACCATCGACATTGTTTTCTGCACCAAGCTCATGTTTGAAAACCTGTGCTTCAGTAGTATTGCAGCACACATCCCCATCACACTGTCTCAGTTTGATCTAGGGCGTCGTGTATGTGTGCATTCACGGAGAATGGGCAGGAAAATTGGAGCCTTATTTTCCAGTTCTGACAGGAGCTTCTTCCAAGTGAACTCCTTCAGCTCTGACACCGACTGTTGGCGTAGGATGGAGTTGGCACTCTGAGCATAACACTATTAGTTCATTCCGAACCAGCATTCCAATCCTCTTCAGAAGCTGCCTCTTTGTACTGTGTTCTTTCAGGCACTCTATTGCCACTGATTGTCTCCTTCCTCTTGCTACTGCTTTCCCAATATATTTACGACTTGATGTTACTTCATATGTTTTAGGCTTCTTGTACCCAACATGAACCAGCATACAATTACACATAACTATGATGACAGACACAAGGCTTACGGATACACATGGAGATTGTTCTTTGCCAACTGTAGAACTAGATAAAAGCAGAGAATGTTGAGGGCGTCTCTTCGACGGACGAAATACAGTAGGGCTTGGAGATGAACGTTTTTCCGTCCGTCATTGATGCTAACATCACCTGACTATTTCTTCCACGTTGCGTGAAATAGGCAGGCTACGCCAGACTTAGTAGGAGACCACGAGTAGGTAAAATGGCCCAGCCCATAAATTAGCAGTACATCACATGCGCGTACTTCTGTGTGCGCATTTCGTGCCTGGCACAATCTGTTCGCACATGCTCAAGATATTCTAATCCCGTACCAAGCCTATTGTTTAGCTAAAACATGGCAGATGCACAGCGAAAGATGTGCCTCACTTGGTAGCACGCTTACCTCGTCTGCAGCCTTCACAGAAGACCTTCCTCAACTTTGCTTTAACGTGGAACCCTTCTCTAGCGAGCACACGCATCTCTGCCGAGGGTTTGCACTTTAGTGCTTTTCATTGTTCATGGAAACTATGTCATACACGTGCATACTAAGTTTTATCTCTATGGTTGCTACTGTTAACTAGTCGCTGGTCCACAGCCCACTTTCCACAATGCGGGTATGCTGTAATACGTAAGCACCCGCCGGAAAGTGGTCTGTGTGATGGGTTTGGGTCTAGCTGTGTCACTGCGCGCGCATTCCGGCGCAACCACTAATTACACTGTGGGGCGGAGCACTGACCACACCAAGTAAACACACATGTACATGTATGCAGAGTGTGTGTGTGCGTGTGTGCGTCGGTGTTGTGTGTGTGTGCGTGCGTGTTGTATATGTGCGTGTGTGCGAGCGTGCTCACATGCGTGCGTGTGTGTGTTTGGAGGAGGAATATATAGCTGCCCTGGGTTATGGAATATGGAAAGAATCAGTGACCTCTCCATTATAATGCTCATTATAAGGCACAAAAGCTCTCCAAGTTTATAAGAAGATTGACCTACAAAACGCTGCATAAAATGGGTTTTGGGCGTAAGCCCATTGGCGAAGGATATAGAAGATGCAGTTCTAGGCCCGTGGAATTGCTGGCAATGCAGATTTTGCGGGGCTATAGAATCAAACTCCAAGGAATCGAACCGTGTTGTTTATGGACTTGCAGTTCGCTACATAAAAGTGCCTTGGGCTATTTGTTGTCGTTCAAACGATATTTGGTTGGCATAGAAATGATGTTATATGCATGTAACAATAGACCATGTATACCCATACCAAGTTTAAGTCTATCCCCCTAAACTCCACCATCTCTAACTGGCTTATTGCTTCCCAGAGTAATGGGAACTGTTCAGCATTGTCCCACTATATACTTACATCCCAATGCCACTTGTTAGATAAGTATATACACCTGTTATAAGCAAGCAATCCAAACCTTCCTAGTCATCTGGAAGTATGGACAGTGCTGTGACCCATACTTTATAGCAAAATTCATATTTTTTAAAATGCGTGTGGTAAGTGACTCATGATTGCTTCCCAAACACTTATTAATTGCCTACTCTCTTTTGAAATGCAGGGAGCTGGGATCTCTCACTAGCCCTCAAACTACTGATTCGCTGGCACGCCTAGTCTCTTCCACTCTTTCTGTTACATGTAGTGCCTCTGCCAATGATGTTCGAGGAGTTGTCCGGAGGGAGCTGCAAAACAATTTAGATAAGGAAAACCCCTCATCATCATGTTTCGAGCATGGGTACACTACTGAAGGAATTGAGCACCATGAAGAGACCTATTGTGATAGACAAATGGTGGCTGGTGTGCAGTTTGAAGAACCAAAAAGCAATGATGATCTATTGTGCAAGGAAGGTAGGTTTTAATGAAGTGTAATGTAGTGAACGGCACGAGCCAGAATTTAGGGTGTGCAAATGCACCATAAACAGTGCCAGGCATGTGCAGTATCAATCTTGACCACATGCTGAGCAGTCAGGCACTAGGGGAAGCTTGTTTCCAGCCCTTAACTGTCCAAATGCGAGGGGAAAGGAAGTAATAATGTCTGTAGTAGTGCAGATCCTGGTATTCAATAACGCAAGTCTCTGTGTTCAGATAGAACTACATAGCTAAGTACAGTCACACTTTATAAGGATTTGGTGCATCAAGGCTAAAATGGCCAAAGTAAAATCACCCACAGACACTGTCCATGAAAAGCACTAAAGTGCAAACCCTCAGCGAACTGCGCATCCGCGGTACCACTAATTGATGGGCTGGGCTATTAGTATGCGTTTACAGTAGTAGATAGCATGCGAGAGACACGCCCTTCGTTGTGACTTCTTGTATGTACCTTCAAGATACACAGAGCAAGCGGACCCGGTTGAGGTTAAAGCCTGTTCAAACTATAAGCGCATGCGCATTTTCCGCAGTGGAAACCGCTCCTGAGATGGTGGCTGTCTGGCCATTGGATCTCTTGCCGATGGTTCTACTAAGAAGTTTCGTTATTTCTTTTGTGCTTGTGCTTTTTTGTCTTGCTATAGTGCGAAGGAACCACGATGGCTACGGATGCGTAATGGATTCACTCCTGGCAAAACTGAATATCTGTGCTGAGAGCACAAAGGACGATCTAGCTAAGCAGCTAGTTCAAAAACCACTTGGACTCCTGAAACAAGTAAGGACTGATGTTTTTGAGTGTGCAAGGGCCAGTAAATTAGCTCATCCCAACGATATACTAGTACCTTCTGAAAAACGGTATCACAGTCCCTAGAACACTTTTGAGAAATGGGACATCAGCAAGGAATAAACGATCTAGAATCGCAAATGACTCAATTTCTAGAGCAAATGACATATCGCAGCCCAGTGCTGATGGTCAACCCAATGCCCCTGACAATGCCCCGGAAAATGTGCATTGTAGTGAGCATAGTCAAATTTCATGTATGGAAGTTGTTCAAAACAACACGTCTACGCTCCAATCCCAATGTGACATATCGCAGCCCAGTTCTGGTGGTCAACCCAATGCCCCTGACAACATGCATTGTGGTGAGCATAGTCAAATTTCATGTATACAAGTTGTTCAAAACAACACGTCTACACTCCAACCCCAATGTGACACGTGTGGTGTTGCTGTGGACCATTATGATGCTAGTACTAGCCATAGATATTCAAATCCTACTTTCTCCATGCCACCTCATAGTGTCCCTGTTGCTGTTGGACACCAAATGTTCCACCACCTATATCTCTACAGAATAGAACATATCAGGAATCAGAGGTTTTTACAAAAGAGCTCAATAAGTTGAAAGCTCAAGTTAGCCAATTACAACTTGAATTGAATAACCTATATCAGCTGCCTGGGATACACCTAAATTCTGACACATGTCACGTCTATCTTAGAATTGGTAACCGGTTACCACAATCACTTTGCAAATCAAGTCTTGCTAAGATTCTAAGGTGCAAAGTTCTAAAATACGAGATTAAAAGAAGGAAGCTTCCTATTGTATGCCAAGTGACTATCCCCAAGTCCAACTTGCACCAAGCACTAACTGCTGCTCAACGGGACAAGGGCATATACGCCCAATTGTGGAGACCAAAATGTAGCCAACCTCCCAACATCCACAAATTACCCCAAGTCACCACAAAGGGAGTGTAGAATCTAGTAAGCTAAGAATAACAACATGGAATTGTAGGGGTCTGCACACAGGTGAACCTTACCTGCATCATCTTGCGGAGGGATACTCGGATATTTTGGTTGTTACAGAACATTGGCTCTGGCCATACGAAGCACACAAGCTTTCGACAGTTCATGCTGGTTTTGACTCCGAAGTTGTTATTGACAATAGACTTACAGATTGTTCAAACCTAACCAGTGGTTGTGGAGGTGTGGGTATACTGTGGAGAAAAGGTTTAGATGTAACTCCAATATCAGGAATACAGAGTGACCGTTTGTGTGCTATCCGAATCAAAACATGCAGCACCAGTTTTACAATCATTGGTGTTTACATGCCTTGTGCAGGCACTGACATTCAAGCCTATGGAAGTCATTTGATTGAATGGAACGCCTTGTAACCGAAGCTCAAAGTGCTGGCTGTGTGTGTATTATGGGCGACTTCAATGCTCATATTGGGTTGAAAGATGGAGTGTCCAGTAAGAATGACAAGATTAACCCAGAAGGTTTGCTAATACAACAGTGGGTGGATAGGTGTGCTCTGTATGCAGCCTCCCTCTCACCCACTAGTAGTTGTCCAATGTACACCTATTTCAATTCTGATAAGTATATACTACCGTGGACTATATATTTACCGATATCGTGACTGCAAATATATCGATTCCTGTTATACCCATGATCATCACAGCCTTAACTCCTCTGATCACCTTCCTATAAGCTGTGAACTTTCAATCTCACATCAACTGCTCCATGCCGGAGATAATGAAAGAGCAGTGCCGAAGATCAAATGGGATAGTGCAGTGTCTTCTGGGAAATGCTCCATATATCAAGAGCGCATCTCCCAAGCAGTCACAAAAGTCCTTGGGGCCTCATATAGCAATGTTGAAGAAATAAATGACCATATAATATCTATTTCAAGGTCGATACAAGAGGCTGCATTATCTACTTTGCCACTGCATAAGCCAGCAAAGAAACAGAATAAGTGGTATAAAGATTCCACACTCTCCAACTTATGCAAGCAGAAAAATGAAGCCTGGGATAAATGGAAGGAGGCTGGGTGCCCCAGGGAGGGTGTTCTCCATGAGCGAAAGAAGGCTCTACGCAATGAAGTAAGGAAAAGAATAAAAATATGCAAAGCAAATGAAGAGAGGAAGAGAATTGAGAAAATCGATCGTGATTTCAGAAACAAGTTTCCATCCCGATTCAGAACTTCCAAGTCCAATAAGTGCGGATCAAAAATTCGTGTGTCTGGTGACGTTGTCTCTGATCCACCTGCTGTGCTTCAGGCTTGGAGGGGTCACTTTGAAATGCTAGGAAAAGCGAGGGATGAAAACGATACTGTAAAAGCTGCAAATGATAGAGCAAAACACTTACTAGAGCTGACTTATGGAAATGAAGAGGTTGCTCTGGACGTTCCTTTCTCAATGGATGAACTAGAATCTGCTATCAGAAAATTGAAACCTAAGAGAGCAGCCGACTTGAGCGGTATAACATCAGAACACCTGAAATATGGTGGCCACGCTCTCAAAGTTTGGCTACTGCAAATTTTCAATGCAATTATTCAGCGAGAAGAAATTCCTCACACGCTTAATATTGCAGCAATCAGCCCTGTGTACAAAGGTGGTGGCAAAGATCCTCTAGAGAGAGGAAGCTACAGAGGAATTTCTGTGACACCTGTGCTGTCCAAACTACTGGAGACGCTCATACTTGGCAGGTTACTTCCAGTATTCGAAGATCTGAATATTCCAAATATCAATCAAACTGGGTATCGTAAGCATGTTTCCTGCACTGATGCCATTTTCACCACCACAGAAGTGCTTTCACACTACCTTCACCAGTCTGAGACAACTTACCTATGTTGTTATGATCTACAAAAGGCGTTTGACTCAGTTGAGTATGGTGTCCTACTGTGTCGTCTCTTTGATGCTGGTATTAATGCCAAGCTCTGGAGACTCGTTCGTGCATGGTACCAATCACCACAGGGCATGGTGAAGGTTGGTAGGGAGTTTTCAGCAGCTTTCTCCCTGGGAAGAGGTGTCAGACAGGGCTCAGTTTTATCACCACTGTTGTTTCAGGTCATCATGGACCCACTCCTCAACCAAATGGAGTTAGCAGATCTCAGCATGTCATTCAAAGATGTCTACCTGGGTGCATCTGCCCACGCCGATGACATCAGGACCTTGACCAGTAGCAAGAAATGTATGGAAAAGCAAGTGCTAATGGTGAAAAACTTCGCACACTCCAGTGGGCTCAGTCTTAATGTGCAGAAATGTAAAGTGCTTACCTCAGGTAGCCACACTCAACAATGCTCCAACTCAATCATGACAAATATTGATGGACAAGATATTTTTGCTAGCAAGGAAGTGAAGTGCTTAGGATATTTGTTGTCATGGGACCTGTCTGCAAAGAAGGCCATTGATGAAACAATCGCAAAATCTAGAAGAGCCTTCTTTGTGCATCGCTCACAGGTATTTGAAGAAAATCTTAACCCGCTAAGTGGAAGGTCCTCTTTGAGGTATGTATTGAACATACCCGTACTATTGTACGGCTGTGAAAACTGGCAACTAACCTCAACCCTTATCAGCCAGCTGGAATCTTTCCAAGGAGAGATTGGGAGAAGAATTCTCAAGCTCACTCCATATCACTCTACTTATTCCTCCAGAATTGCTCTGCGGTGGCCCTCGGTTGCTGCAAGAATCCTATCAAGGAAGCTTAACTTTATTCTCCGTTTCAAGTTAATGGACTCTACAGAATCAATTGCATAAAAGCTGTACAATTCCTCTGATCCACTGCACCTCTCCCTCATACACGAGTGTAAATTCCTAGAGGAGCACACTGGACTAGACTCATACACAGAGAAAGTGCTCTCTGGAGAATTTGATGGTCAAAGAAAAGCCCTTTCCAACGAAATCATGAAACAAGACTGGCAAATAACCTTGGAGAAGGGACACGAAAGAGATAGCACTAGAATTGCAACCCGAATTGCAAATGAAGTCAGTTAATTAAAGTTATGGGATGCAATGCTTGACGAGGGAGTTCATGGAACGGTTAGGTTGCAATCCTTGTACAAAGTGATAACATGGCCCAAAATAGGCAACATCTCCGTGTGCCCAGTCTGTGAATGGGAAAGCAATACCCACCTGCTCCCACATCTACTAGAAATCCATCTCCAACTAAGGGAAGAGGACATCATTACATTGTTAACATCAGCGTCAACAAGAGACATTTTACTGGTTGCTAATCAAGTTCACCAATTACTTTTATCTCAAAACAGTCGTGGTTCCTAGTCGTGGTTCCTACCATTTTTTCTGTCCTATTTTTTGTGTTTATTATATTTATGTGCTGCCTTTACTGGTGTATGCAATAATAACCTTTGAACATTTGAGCGGTAAAAATGGCCGACTACGCATTAGCCGTACAATGGTGGAAGCGCTCTAGCTTTGCAACGGAGCGTTTTCTGAGAAAACCGTTCGAAACTTCTGACCTTCATTGCCCGTTCAGTAGGTGGTATCCTTTGTGAGACGAACGAACACTCGAGAAGTGAGATTGAGAGTAAGACACACACAGGCCCAACTACCGTAACGCTCGCTGCGCATGAGCGCCGAGGGTTAACAAGGGAAGACTTGTATTGCCACCTACCTAGACCCTTACCATCTTCCTTCGCATTAAGGTCAATGATCTGCGAACATGTGCACACAGCAAAAGGGGTGTAGTGGTATCTGAGTGAATTTGCTGTTATTTTGGAATACTTCTTCGCAAGTAAAATAATTCTTTAGTCTGAGAGTCTAGGGGACTGTTAATTCGATCTGGTGCCGCTGGTGTACCTGCTGGTTTCAACCTTCAACCTAGGTTGGTGCCCCCCCCCCCCTGATACAGCACAAAAGGCCACCACCTAGTTCAGCGTGACTATTTTGGAGACCAGCCATGAGGCAAATAGATATAGGCTCCACCAACCCTCTTTTCGTAGGCTACCTAGAAACCCTTTACTTGACTAGCCGATGCATGATCCCCTAACCCACATTACGGGTATAGGGCATGCTTACCCAAGCATACATACAGCAACAGCCATGTCCGGAAGCAATGATCCACCTCTGGTAACAGTCCATTAAAAAAATGTATGACCAAACCTTAATTAAGAATGTTTTTTTACCGTTTTATTTAATTTCGTCGCAGGTATGGATGAATTATTGAAAGAGTGCTTCTTTAGGGCTTTGAACTTAGTTTCAGAAACAGCAAAGCTTCCTCTTTTGACGAGTACTTTCTATAGTGCTTTCATGCTTCCTCAGTGTCCAACAGGAATGAGACTGGATGTCAAAAAGTCATCCTATAAAAAGGTAATTAGTTGTGGTGTCGATTAATGTCAGTTGTTATGAGTCACAACTCAGTACACCAGTATTCTCTGAGAGAAAATGGGTTGGAACACATTGCAAGGAGCTGCCGTCATGTCTACTCTAAGCCATGACTCTATGCGCGCTGTAAGTCAGTCCATCCCATGGCAGTGCTGTGCGCGCGGGTGGGGTAGACGGAAAGGTGGCGCTTCAGATCTTCACCAGGGTAACTTGATGACGCACAACCATTGATAGGCTGCAAATTTGTTAACCCCCGGACACTGCGCCCGAGGAATAGTATAGTAAACAGCTGAGGGGATATCCGGTACCGCTTCAGCGCCCGGGGGTTAACATATACATAGGCCTTAAAAATGGCATACAATGTATTAGTGACTCAAGAGCTCTGTGAATGAAAGTTTTTACGCATTATTTTCAGTCAGCTAGGTTTTGCAGGGGCATTTTCTTTCTCTGGCCCTACGAGAAAGTGCTATTGAGCCAGCGGTTAGGTACGTACGTCCAAGCCCAGGCTAAAGAGAAGCTGTGCAGACCATGGAGATTATTTCTCAGCGCCACTCGTAGCGTAGCTCGTGGTTGGCTGTAGCAGCCCAGCTGGAGCAACCAAGAGCTTGCTAATCTCGAGCATACGCGAGCATACCATTCTTTTAGATTTTCGTGGGTAGCAGCTGTTGCGGCACTGGCTCCGCTTCAAGATCTGGATATGACTTGCTCGGTGCGCTAGGTTTACTGGGCTGCCATGATGTACAAAACGAGCTAACCGTTTTCATGTAGTTCAAAATGGTTCATTAGCCCAACCGCAGGTTTAGACAATGGTATTCATTACTATCCGCAGGTTTATACAATGATATTCATTGCTAATACACCAGTTTATAATGATATTCCATGACCGCAAGTTGTGTTAATGTTAACTTTCCCCACAGCAGTTGAAGCGGAAGTAAGATCCTTGTCTTTGATTTGAGTGCCTAGGGCTACAAGGGAATGATTCTGTTTTCAGTATGTACAGACTGCTGGCCGAAACCAAGTCCAGGGTTTTCTTCGTAAAAAGTTCTAATCACTAACAACAGCAGAATTACAGTACTTTCCTGAAGTTGGTGACAAGCAAAGCAACAGTTGTTAGCCAAAAAGTTTCAGTGGCTCCCAGTATTACGTGGGGAAGAAGTGTCAGGAGTGGTTTCAGACCGAGCACTTCGTGCGTTGTGTGTGATTCTGAAAGCCTAATGTGCCAATAGCAGATCATTTTGTACAATGTGCTGAAGAAGTGAAACGTTGTGTCCGGGTGCATTTCTTCCAAATGAAGGGGGATATAGGGATGGCACAAAACACGAAAAAGGAAAGAACAAGGGGTCATCACACTGCTAAGACACACCAAGCTACGTACATGGCACCATCCATATTATCTTTGCCTGGTCGTATGTCCCTAGAACAAAGATATAGGGATGGTGCCATGTAGCTTGGTGTGTCTTAGCAGTGTGATGACCCCTTGTTCTTTACTTTTTCATGTTTTGAGCCATCCCTTCGTTCTTCGTGGTCACATGCTGTACGTGACTTTGAACAATCTGGGGAGAGATTGTATAGTAGAACATTGGTAAACGTTCAATCAGCACAACCAAGAAATCGCTCAACTTGTTTCAGTAAGGTGAATGATGATGACACGAAAATCGTGAATTCGAATGTAAGCGAATTCTGGCTGGGAGAACACGTTTTTGGCATGTGTATGAGATATAGGTAGATATAGGCGTGTAGACCTTTGCTATTGATTTTGAAGGCATATGGAGTTATTCTCAATGAGTTTTGAGGCATTTTGTACACGGATCACATGAGAGATTTGACCCGTGCCATCCCTATACAGAACGTTTACCGATGTTCTACTATACAATCTCTCCCCAGTAATTCTTTTTCACTGTGATTCTTAACCTGCCCCTGTTGTCTTCTTATCCAAGCAAAGTCACCACTGACTATCTCTCTTTGCATCGAGAACAGGGTCACAGATTTCCTTGATGAGATACCTGAACACCTCAAACACACATCCACCTCTGGCACAACGCCACAGCATGTGTATCATAAGTGTTGTCAGGTTCCGGTGTCAACCTAACACACAGTTTTCTTTGTTTAGTAGCTAAGAATGCCTTCTTTATGTTACCCATGTCGATTTACTCCTATGTACTTGAAATTAACCGTGCTTGTTTCTCTGCTTTTTATTAAGTCAGCTTCTGTAGACCGCATGACGAGGACTGCTCTCGGTCATCCTAAGCATCTTCATCTTCCCTGCTCTCACTCCCCCCTCCCCCCCTAAATAATTAGTACGCCATCTGGCAATGACCTCACATAGACTAGGGCCTCACATAGATGCACTTACAAAACTCTTGAACCTGCGCAATAGATCGCTGTCAGTATGCAGGTAATAATGAGCACGTTTAGCTATAAAATTTATGGCTGAGATGTTACGTGCTCATTGGGACAAAATCGCTCAAATGCAAGCAAATTTGAGGCACTACTTGGTCTAGTGCTGGGTCTGCTCCAATGCAAGCATCGAATTTGACTGCACCAATTGAGGTTTTGAGTTGTATATAGTTTAAAATAGTGATTTTCGACTGTGTTCACCGTGAAAAGCTAATGAACAAACCTATATGGAAATTACCATTCGCTTACATCTACCGCATTCTGCCAGTTTGCTGAAGATAGAACAGAGGGCCTAGGTTGTGTCTCGCGATGCCTATAGCACTATCTACTGGTCTAGTTCACCCGTTTTTGTGGTTAATGCATACATTCTTTCATTAACCCTCGGCGTGCATGCACAGCGAGGGTTACTGTACTTTGTTTGTAAGTGTGTCCATCTCTCTGTCTGTCTGTCTGTCTGTCTGTTACCACGTTTTCTGTGACTATGCGCAACGGGACAACAAAACAGCGATACCAACGGGTTCATGGCTATACTGGCTTCATTTTTAAGAAGGTGATTTTCACATAACTACTGCGTTTAAAAGTTATGCCGTGAAAAGTAAGTGAACAAGCCAATAATATGCTAAAGAGAACCGGCTTACCTCGACCGCGTCCGCTCGCTCTGTGTATCTTGAAGGCACAAGAAGTCACAACGAAGGACGTGTATCGACTCCTGCAAGCTATCTACTACCCGTTTCAGACTCTCTGCGAGCTACTAGAGGGAGACCACGAATAAAGGCATACTAAAAGACCAGCCCATCAATTAGTGGTACCGCACATGCGCAGTTCGCTGAGGGTTTGAACTTTAGTGCTTTTCATTAACATAGCTCTTGCTGCTTCTAAATTATACTGACACATGTGTGCCCATTAGTAAACAAACCATTTTAGGGTGAAAGATGTGACAAAACACTAAATATTATTTCTTTGTACAAGTAATGTGCGTTGTATCTGAAAAGGCCCTTTTTGCCTGTATTAACAACAGAAAAGTGTTCACATCCTGCTATTGACATTACTTCCTGCCATAGCCCCAAAATCTATGACGCTTGGTACTTTTTGCTCGTTCTATAACTATATTATACTACATACCATACTTAGTAATTATAGGCCCATATGTCTATGTATGTTCGCATTCAACTTGCTGGTAGGGAATTTTCTCCGCTTTACTGAGGCCAATTCCGGATGTTCACATGCATTGCGTTTCAGCCAGCGTATGCACCCAATGCATGCTTACCAAATTGTGTGTATGCCTCATTAGGAAAGGTCTACTGATCTGTTACTTAGTGATAGGTTTCATGCACATATTAGCTCTTCCTAACTCACCCTGATGAACTCTGAGGGCTGTTTCTACTCGCCTTGCTCCGTGAGCCTAAGTGTTGTACTACCGACCACAAAATGTTCACTTGCATAAGCATTGTTACAGAAAATGGGTAATGACCATTTTGAAGGAGGAAAGTGAGAGGAGACAGTTAAATATAATGGGATGATACATAATATGAATAATGAAAAGAAGAATAGATAGGGATGGCATGGTTTATGAACAGGTTTTTTAGCACGCATAGATTCGCCAATAACAAATAATGGGACAGTCATCATTATGCATTTCTGCAGGGCCCATAGCTAGACTGGTGACAGTACTGTTACTAACAGTACCATTGTACTGTTTTTTTTTACAGAGTCTAAGTCACTAAATACGGTAGTACTTGGTATGTTCAATTTGAAAGTAGGACACAATCACTATGGTTCATATTTTCTATCCTTATCTTGTCTTCTCTTATTCTATACCTTTCATTTTCTTTTGTTTACTTGTGTCTACATGTTTTATGGTGTATTGTGTTGTTCCCCAGCTCTCACAGTTTTTGCGTATGATGCATGAGTTGGGGGTGATAAGAGTTCAAGAAACAATGAAAGGTGTTGAAAGTATAACTAACATTGATTTTGACCATCCGTCAATAAACAACATATCAAGTCCTGCATCTTCTTCGGCCTCAGCAGTTGGAACAACTAAACTAGTGAGTTAAAAATATTATTAACTCAAAAATGAAGTTAATGAAAAGCACTAAAGTGCAAACCCTCGGCGAACTGCGCATGCGCGGTAGCACTAATTGATGGGCTGGGCTTTGTATCTTTACTCGCGGTATCCCGCTAGTAGCTCGCGGAGAGTCTGACACGGGCTAGGTATAGTAGTAGATAGCATGCGGGTGTCGATACACGCCCTTCGTTGTGACTTCTTGTGCCTGCAAGATACACAGAGCGAGCGGACGTGGTCGAGGTAAGCCTGCGCTAATTTGCATATTGGCTTGTTCACTTGCTTTTCACGCCATAACTTTAGAACGCAGTTGTTATACGAAAATCGCCTTTTTAAAAATGAAGCCAGTGTAGCGACGAACTCGTTGATATCGCTATTTTGTTATCTCGTTGCGCGTAGTTGCAGAAAACGTGGTAACAGACAGACTGACACACTTACGGGACAACTACCGCAACCCTCGCTGCGCATGCGCGCCGAGGGTTAATTAACCCTCTCCCCGCATGCGCAGCTAAAGTTAAGGTACTTGGTTCGTTAGTGTGTCTGTTTTCTCCAACCACGTATGAGACAACAATTTAAAAAAGCACTGCGTTTGAGAGTCATGGCGTGCAAAACGTATGAATAAGCCATTATGCAAATGAAAAGCACTAAAGTGCAAACCCTCGGCGAACTGCGCATGTGCGATACTGCTAATTGATGTACTTGGCTCTTTGTATGCGTTTACTCGTGGTCTCCCGCTAGTAGCTCGCGGAGAATCTGACACGGGCTAGCTACAGTAGTAGATAGCATGCGGGAGTCGATACATGCCATTCGTTATGACTTCCTGAGCCACACAGAGCGAGCGGATCTTGTCGCGGTAAGCCGAACGCGATTATGCACATTGGCTTTTTCGCTTGTTTTCATGGCATATCTCTCGAACACAGTCGTTTCAGGAAAATCGCCCTTTTAATTTTCAGGCTCGCGTAGTTCTGAAGCCTCTGGTACCGCTAATAGGCCGCCTCGTAGCCTGTAGTGACAGAATAAGCGCCGATACACACAGACAAACCAACTACTGTATCCCTCGCTGCGCATGCGCACCGAGGGTTAACATAGCTACACAGTTCAACTGAACCCTCGGCGCATTGTGACGCGCCGCGTAAGTAAACGCATGCGTGGTACCACTAATTGATTGGCTGGGTTTAGTTTTAGCTGTTACTCGTGGTCTATTGCCAGCTCGCGCAGAGTCTGATGCGGGCTAACTACACTACTAGATAGCATGCGAGAGGCGATACATGCCCTGCTTTGCATCTTATGGTGCCTCCGAGGTACGCAGAGCACGCGGATCGATCAGATGGTAGTAAGCCGTCCCCATCCATTGTGTATTTGCATATTGGCTTTTTCGCGCTGTAGCTTTGCAACGGAGCAGTTTCAGAGAAAATCGTTCGAAAGTTCTGACCTTCATTGCCCGTTAAGTAGGTCGTATCCTTTGTGAGACGAACAAACATTCGAGAAGTGAGATGTAGAGTAAACACACACACACAGACCCAACTACCGTACCCTCGCTGCGCATGCGCGCCAAGGGTAATTGTCACAAGCTTACCTTGACCAGATCCGCTTGCTGAGCATAACTTGGAGGTGCCAAAAGTTGCAATGCAGGGTGGGTTTTGAGTCTCACAAGCTATCAAGTACTGTAGCTGTCCTTGTCTCAGACTCTCCGTGAGCTGGTAAGAGACTGTGAGCATGTATGGTAGCTAGCTAGTAAAACCAGCCCAGCCAATCAATTAGTAGTAAGGTACGTAGGACGGTCCCCAAACAAGTGATTAAAAATCGCTTCAACTCTCCGCCTAACCACGACGCACGATGCCCAAAAACAAACCGTGTTACAAAATAGTGGGCGGGGCAACTCCGTACACTAGCACATGCTCGCATAGAAACTGCAAAGAGGGCACAGGAGGTACGGGACTGCTCGCTGTGTACGACTTAGTATTCCCAAGGAATATGTAAGTATTTCTAGAGAGTATATAAGTATTTCTAGGGGATATATAAGTGAAAAATGTAAGTAAGTGGTTCAATGAAGGGTTGAGTTGTTGTAGATGTCATTCTTTGCAGACACTGCAGAGGAAAACATTCATTGCTGCTTCAAGTTGCTCATCCGTCCACTTGTTCTTTGCCATTGCCTCGTTATACTTGCTATTCCGTTGTTTACTACAAAAGTTTGAAAACAAATTGTGCATGCGTAAAGAACCACTGTAAAACTTTATTCTGGCGCTGAAATGCAGTAAAAATACGTTAATCTAAAAGTTCTACAACTAGAGCAGTGTGCAGGTAACTGTATTTTACATTTACACGACGACAAGGGGTTCGAATCAACAGCACAACACAAAGGCAAACCTCAAACCACTCTGCTATGGCACAGTATACTCTCAACTAAGTATGTCTGTGTACAGCTGTAAGTGGGGTCTGAAGGCTAACGTAAGTAAAAGTTCTGTGCTTGTTTCTGCGAAGGAGCTTGTTGAGAGTAACTGGAAATTGGCCTGACCTTTCCTGGGATGTACAAGTATGGGACAATTGGTAAATGAGTTGCATAGTATAATCAGGGTATTAATCTTAGTGCCCGGAGGTTTTTGCTTTTGTCAGTTGTTAGACATACCTTGGAGTATGGGTGTGAAGTATGAGAGGGCAACAAGCTATAGTCAGCTGTACTGGAGTCCGTTACGTTCGGTGGCAAGCAAATTTTTGTACGCTCTTCTAGGACTTAGAACGAGGCAGTTAATGGGGGTCATGGGGCTAGATGCATTGCATGGTAGGAGAGATTAGGCCAAGGTGGCTGCTATGTCAGGGGATAGGTATCCAGACGCACTCTTTAGTTAAATATGGATCTTCTAGCCTCGTAGAGGTCGACAGAGGAAGTCTAGGAGTAAGGTGGTTGATGATTTTCCTCATGAGGTTTTGATAAAACAGAGTTCTTGGATTGCATAGTAAGAGGAGGGGGGGGTCTAGATTGATGTTAAGGTTCAGATCAGGAAGTCATGGGTTGAGTGAGGAGTAAGGTAGTTATTGAGGAAGTTGTCTGATGCGAACGTGTCTGTAATGTGATATGGGAGGAAATGTACCAGTGATTTTTCATTGCTCAACTGCAGGAGTCAGCTCTTCAAGTCTCTAGATGTTCTGAGGAAAGCATTGTTTGTGCTAGGTACGTACTAAGTTGTGGGAGAATAATTTTCCTCCCTGCTCCAGCTTGAGCTTGTTAAGGGTTATGTTTCGAGTATGTGGGAGTTAAAAATGGATCTCCTAGCCTCGTAGAGGTGGACAGAGGAAGTCTAGGAGTAAGGTGGTTGATGATTTTCCTCATGAGGTTTTGATAAAACAGAGTTCTTGGATTGCATAGTAGTCTACATTAATGTTAAAGTTCAGATCAGGAAGTCTTGGGTTGAGTGAGGAGTAAGGTAGTTGTTATTGAGGAAGTTGTCTGATGCGAACGTGTCTGTAATGTGATATGGGAGGAAATGTACCAGTGATTTTTCATTGCTCAACTCTGGGATTCAGCTCTTCAAGTCTCTAGATGTTCTGAGGAAAGCATTGTTTGAGCTAGGTACGTACTAAGTTGTGGGAGAATAATTTTCCTCCCTGCTCCAGCTTGTTAAGGGTTATGTTTCGAGTATGTGGGAGTTAAAAATGCTATGTAAGTGATAATATGGCGATAATCCTGGCGTTAAAGTGTCCCCATCTCAGAGTGCACCTGGAGACTGTCAAAAGGTTGCCATAGGGCTCGGTAACAATGCAGGCCTGTCCATTAATTCTTGTATGTCTTGTTCTAGCTCTGCCCAATGTTATGGGTGTGTGGTCAATTGCACTAGTGCTGTATGAGTATTATTTGTTGACAAGTAGATATTGTGGTCCTCTACGATTATTAATCAAACTGAATGTGTTCGTCGTGATTTGATCACCATATTTTCCCATAGGTTCGGGACATATATGTATCAGAATTCTACTCACCTTCTCATAAACTACTGCCACTTTTTCATTGCTCTGGCTATGACAAATCATCATTGTTGTCAGCAACACAAGTGAGGGAATCTATAAAGTTATATGTTGAACAGAATCAGCTTCAGTCTGCAACAAACAAAAGGTACGTACATATTGTCTCTTAATCACTGTATGGGCTGCTGGCCCTGGATGTTTGCAAATGCAAATCATTACGGATGCATTTTACTTGAGACTATCCTACAGGCTTGGGTTACCTTCCAGCTCTACTTTATACGGGAATATGGCTGTTAGGTTCCTGCCTGCAAATACTAAAAAGAATGAAAAGCGCTGAAGTGCAAACCCTTGGCGCATTACACATACATGGCCCTGCTAATTTATGGGCTGGGCTATGAGTGTGCGTTTACTCGTGGTCTCTACGGTAGTTGGTCGTGGAGAGTCTGACACGGGCTAGGTACACTATAAGATAGCATGCTGAGGCGGGAGTCGATACACACCCTTCGTGGTGACTTCTAGTGCCTCCGCATCGTACAAAAAGGAGCAGGCGGATCGGTCGAGGTAAGCTGGTGCGATTGTGCATATTGGCTTTTTCGCTTGTTTTCATGGCATATCTCTCGAACGCAGTCGTTTCTGGGAAAATCGCCCTTTTACTTATCAGGTTCGCGTAGTTCTAAACACGTTGGTATTGCTCATGGGCCGCCTCGTAGCCTGTAGTGCGAGAATATCTGCTGACAGACGGACAGACATACACACAGACATACACACACACAAACCAAGTACTATAACCCTTGCTGCGCATGCGCGCCGAGGGTTAATAATGGTTGGGCCTACAACAACTTCAAGGCCTGACCTGAGACTAGGAATCGCCAATTTCTCATTGACAAATGTCCACTAGATCACATTGAAACTCCCAAGTGGGATAGCTCTGCTCTCTCCTGTTGGTTGGCACGTTTTGCTTGCGAAACACGTGACAAAGCAGGGAAGAAGTACCCTGCAACTACTGTTTTCTCTCTTTTATCTGCTCTGTTGTGTTAAATGAGAGCAGTTGACCCTAATTGTCCTAGTTTATTGGATTCTAAAGATGGCAGATTTACAGACATGCATTGTGTTCTTTATGCTTACTTTCGAGAGTTTCGTGAGCGTGGCGTTGGAGCAGAGATGAAGAAAACTAGCTTGGAACTAAGGAAAAAGAGGATGCCTTGTGAAAAAAAGGTGTTCTAGGGGTTGATACACTGGAATGTTTTTTCATGCGATTTTTGCAACGGCAAAATTTTTGTCTTCGTGAGGGCAAGGAGCACCGTTCCCTTAAAATATCTAAAATAGTCAGGCACACTGAACCTTCAGTGCACTATGTTTACACTGAGAACAGCTCTAAAAATAGGAGTGGTGCCCTGAATCAACTGCGTCTTGAGAACAAGACTGTTCCGGTTTTCCATGTAGTGAATGAAGCTGGCCATGTGACCTAAATTTGAGAAAATTGCCAACTATTGCTTTTGAGAAGGATTGGTGTATATCAAATGAAGCCTTTTGCCCACCATGTTGATCCTGGTGCGAAAGTTTGGTGTGGCTCTCAGCCATTTATTTCCGGCTGGGATACCAGAGAGAATCATCCAGGAACGTACTGGTCATCGCTCAAAGCACTTCGTATGTATGAACGCACTACAACAAGTCAACACATTGCTCTTTGTAATGTTCTTTAAAAATGCTCTTTAACTGGGCAAGTTTCATCTAAAACACATCTACACCCAATCTTCCGAAGATAGGCTGAAATTTGCGCCACAACTGCCTTACTAAGGCCCTTACTATCCTTATGCAGTAACACTGACCTGACGTGATCGCCCTCCTACCCCTAGAAAAACCGAGTAATCCTATATCCGCGAGGTTCGCCCATTTTCCAGAGTTGACAAGCCTTTAGGCAATGATATTCGCACTAGCCTGTTTATTGCAACACACAACCCAGTCTTGAGCAGACTTAGTCTGGGGAGAATGTATTTACCGAAGCGTCAAATTGGAAATCACGCTATAGTTTGAAAATAGGCTGCCGAAGACCTGCAAGAGTAGTAGATAATGGTATCTGTCCTCTCCCTCCAAACACCAACAGAAGAAAACAGATTCAAGCAAAAAAAGCGAAAGCAGAGCAAGAAACTAGTTTCCAAGGAAACCCCAATGTTAGCAAAAGATTACTTACTGTATCATGTTCACGGAAGCTGTTTGTGTGTTGCCTGTGTGCCATGGTGTGCTGTCATTACGATAGTGGGTTGGAGTTCCCCTGGCAGCACATTATGTATTGATCAAGAGCCGCGTAACTAAGCAATTAAGTGAGCCTAGTACAAAGACCATAGGGTTCAAAAGCCCATAAGACCGATATAAATTAGCACCAATGGGATTCTGCAACTAACACCAATGGGATTCTACAATTTAAGTTTCATTCTACATAACATTCTTTCTACAGATTACTTTAATTCTGCTAGCTAGAGACTGTAGTTATCTGTAACCCAAAGAGACTTGTTGTTTACTGTAAACAACAACAAATAACCCCAGGCAATGTAATACGCACACTTTAGTTAGTTACATTTTCACTTGCCAACGGTACCACACATTGAGACAAAACTTGGTATTAATACCATTTCCATGAGACTACATGTTAACGTACATGTTTGTAAACAACAACATATAGCCCCTGACTTTTATTTTCTTCTTCAATCCTCAAACTTGTGAACTGTAGCATGGATGGAGCTGAAAGTTGGTACACATGAATATTTTTTCCCATGACGACCACATATGCGCAGTTCGCCGAGGGTTTGCACTGTCTTGATACGGGGCTTTGCCACCTTTCACAGAGATATGCGTAGTGGTATATAAAATGAGATGAAAAATCATGCGAATTGGCATGTAGGGATTCAAAATAAGACAAGATAGGGGTAGGATACATGAAGAAATGTTAGCGAAAACAGATTTAAGCTAGCTGACACCCCCGACCCTATCACACAATCCCTATTGTTGCCTGTGTGAAGTATTCAACATTCACAATTGCAATATGTCAGATCTATAGCTTAAAAATGTTTCGCTTGTGGGTTATAACCAAGAGTCCAGATTTACAAGTTGTACATCAGGCGTGATTGTGTGATTGGGTCGAAGGTTTCAGCGTGTTCCAATCTGTTCGTTAACTGTGCTTATTGTATCCCATATATCCCTTTCTGTTTCAGACTGTCCAACCTTCCCCATACTTGCAAGAGTGATCCTGCACGCTCTTCACACCTCACATATTCAACTCATACGCCAAGCACACGCAATTCATCACAATACTATACATAACATAGCATAATATTTTAGAGTCAATCAACTCTTGACTATTAGTCTTGCCATGTCCACCTGATACCGTAATCTCCGCGCCATCGCCAGGCCCCATTTTTAAAGCACAAAATCTTGGATTTCCACACATCCTTCAAATGGCAATAAGACTTAGACTTCAGAAGTCTAAACGTTATTGCTATTTCAAGGATCTGGCTTCGCGCAGGCGCGGGTGGTGCTCAGACCTAGATGAGATTATTATCCCACTCTGAGGGATAATTATCCTGCTCTGAGGGATAATTATCGCCAAGAGGGAAAATCCCGACGAAATCGGGAGGGTTGGACACTCTGCTTACTATCCATATGCCTTTTTTTTACCCATTTATGTGTTTTTTCAGTTACGAAGTTTAGGTTACACAACAGAAGAAAATCTGCGAAAGGGAAGACAGTCAGATGATGGTGCGAGAGAAGGAGTCCGACAAAGCCACATGGTGGCATTCCCATGCCAGAGAGCGATGGCGAGACGACCAAACAGGTGTTTCGTAGAGTGTGAAGGGTCTACAGACCCTTCACACTCTACGAAACACTGACTGTCTTCCTTAGACAATTTCATCTTCTGTTGTACAATCTAAACTGTCATTTTTCTTCTGTTGTGTAACCTAAACTTCGGTTTCAAGGTGGCCTTGATCTTTTCCTCCTGCAACCTAGTGCAGAAGTGATGCTTCGCAGAAGGAAGGTGGGCCAATAGGACATCCCAGGAGAGTAAAACCTTGGCGAGTAATAGGGATTTCAGAAGGTATGGAAGATACTGCAGGGTCTTCCTCCTGTGGGATGAAGAGTAGAGATTTGGATCGGTTACGGTAGAGACCTAGCGCAAGGCCTTCTGCTTCAACAATGTTCAGGGCAGCTGCGAGATCTTCAGCTGACCCCATAAGTGTCCCGTCATCAAGGAACCATGAATCGATTGTGAGGTTAGGGACCTCAGCCTTGATTTGCTCCACTATAGACTGGAGGGTGATGGCAAAGCCTAGAGTGCCGAGGGGTCCCCCCTGCTGCACTCCACAACAGCTACGAATAGAGTAGGACCCCAGATGAAGTAAGGGTTGAGTAGAGTAACAAGCCTCCATCCACTGAGCAATACCGGGAACACGTTGGCATAATTCCACGAACATGGCCTCCCGGTTGATGCTGTTAAATGCATTTCGAAAATTGAGGAAAAGCATCCATCTGCGATTGGGTGGAGTTGATGATAGGAGTTGAGTGACGGAGTGTATGATTACCTCACATCCACTGTTGACACTCACGCCCAATTGAAGAGGGGAAAGGGTACAGTTGGCAGTGTGACGAGAAACCGTGCGAGACACTTGGATATCAAACGTCGTAACACTTCGCCGACTGCAATGGGCCGGAGTCCCCCATTCTTCTTCTGACAAGCGAGAATGATGGCACCGCAGAGGTGGGATAGAATAGAGGGTGGGGTCCTGCCTGAGGCAAGAGTGTTTACAAAAAAGGTTAGTGATTTCAGTACCTGAGCTGCACAATCTGGGGAGGGGCAACAAACAGCTTCTCTCAGATGATTTGGGCGAAGACCTGAAGGACCAGGGGCGGAGCCATTGGGAAAAGATTTGACTGCATTAAGAACGGACGGCTCTTACAGAGGAGGCGCTGGACCAGGGGGTAAGGCAGGAGAAGGGGCATGTGGGTGCTTTTCCTGCGTCTCCTTTTAAGAGGGCGAGGCAAGGTCCACAGAGGTCAGGGCTTTGAATGCCTTGTGGTATAAGCCATCTTGGACAGCTCTCCTCGCCCGCCTTGCATTGTGATTACGTTGCGAAGAGGGAGAAGCCACTGACGAGTTCAGACGTCGAGACATAGTCTGACATATGTCTACCACTTCCATCCACAGAGAGAGCAGGTCACCAGCAGACCAACTTTGTAGCCAGGACCTCACTTGCTCGAGGATTTCCCGCCAAGGTAGTCGATGTCCAGCAACAGGGCTTGCCGAGACACACTTAGGCAACATGAACAGCTTGCACCAATGTGTCAGGTCCGCTGGATTGTTGGCGACTGAGAGAAGGCAATCACTGAGGGCCGTGGACCAGCAATCCCTCGTTGGGGACATGTTGCAGAGTGGGAATGTAGGTGTGGATGATGGTGGTAAGTGAGGGCAAGGAGGTAGCCACTATGGATGATGGAGGGTTAGTAGAGACAGCAGGAGATTCTGAAACGGGATCCTGGGGACGTTGGAGAGGGTCCTGAGAGGTTGTGATGAGAGAATGTTGAGGAGAAGCAGAGGGAGTAGACGTAGGCGTGGTCAAGGGCCCGCTATTCTGACATCTGTCATGCATGAACGCCAGTCTGTCTCTCTGTCTGTCTGTCGACACTACGGGCTACGAGGTGGCCCATGAGCAATACCAATGGCTTCAGAAATAGAAATCATGAAAATGGTGATTTCCTCAATGCCGTGAAAACAAGCTAAAAAGCCAATATGCAAACTCACACTGGCCTTACCTCAACCCGATCCACTCACTCTGTGTACCTTGGAGGCACAAGAAGTCATAACGAAGGGCGCGTATTGACTCCCGCATGCTATCTACTAGCACATGTCAGACTCTCCGCCAGGCAGCATGGGGACCGCGAGTAAACATGCATACTCTTGGCCCAACCAATTAATTAATGGTACTGCGCATGCACATTGCACCAAGGGTTTGCAGAATGTTTCATTTACTTGTATGAAATTGACACATCTAGCGTGGAGACCACGCATACTCTTGGGCCAACCAATTAATTAACGCTACTGCGCATGTGCATTGCGCCAAGGGTTTGCAGGATTTTTCATTTACTTGTATGAAATTGACACATCTTAGGCTTTCATATGTATCTTATTAGTGGCATTTTTCAGTATGACACGCACATACGTACCTTCGTACGTACGCTTATAGCTCCTGGATAAATTGCTTTTTGCTTGTTAAATTACCGAATGGAACAGACATACAGTGTCACCCCATCGTTCTTGTGTGTTTTTACCACCAGTATAGATTCTGCAACAAGAGGCACCTCAGAGTCTAACTTTAGGGTGGGTGACTCTTTTTGTGATATTCCATTGAATGCTCGTAAACAACAGTGATATTTTCCTGATTTTAGGCCTAGCATATTCCTGCAATACATTCTCTACTGAGGCGAAAAGCAGTCACAGAGAGCGAACAGTTCCTTGCCTTCTTGCCCAGTGGCATTCTTTCTGCCTCCTATGGTGTGTGGAAGCGTATTCTTGTGTTCACAAAAATGGGCGTAGCCATGTTCTGAGCACTAAATTATTTTGAGCTTTGTCACGCAAGGCCACGTCTATTTTTTTGCGACCAGGCTGTAATACACTAGGATTCAGGGAAGTCAGGGAAGTCGTGCACTGGTTTTCTCTGAGAGAATATGAAGAAGAAAATAGAATATGCCCCTGTTGTAATGCCTACAAATACAAGCAAAAACTTATTTTACAAACATGCTTTTTTGTCCAGTGTTGTTGTATTGGATCCAATACTATGTGAAGCACTACATCATAAAACCAGCTTTGTATGTGAGGAGCTTACTTGGGCTGAACTTCTAGAAAGGTCAGTTATGCTGTACAGTTGTTCTGTAGTTTAACAGACTAAGATAGTATATAACTTTTTTGCATATCTATATACAAAAAGGTGTTTTCCGAAAACTGAACACTTCCTTGGAGTGAGAAAGTATCTGTTTCGATTGGGTCGGATTGAATGTACACCTCTATAAAAGTGTATTTTATTTGCTGTGTACGTTATTAGTCGAAACTATAGTGGACATAGGAATTGTTGGAGTTGGGAGGAATGCGACTGGCAAGAGGATGGGGGAAGAAAGAAGCTAAAAGTGACGGATCGGGAGCGATCTTTACAGGAGGAAGTGCACAAAGATCGCTTTATCTTGAGTATGCGGAGATACTCCTGTGCTGACCATACAGTTGCAGTGCTTATCACAAGTTTCAATCCAAACAAAGTCATTTAGCAACTCTCTAGTGCAATGCAAAACAATTTAATTATTTTTTTAAAATTCACAGAACTCTCTGCTATGGAACTGGTCTAAGCTTTCCACAACAATAATTATGTGAACGAACACCATTTTTGACAAAATATTTGTGATCAGAATTTCAATCCATTCTCAGTGATCATTCCCCAATCCATAATCTACATTCCTCGACCCATTCCCCGATTCTTGCCCCCTGATCCTCAGTCAACAAAGCTGTGTGTTCTGCTGTAATGCTACTACTTAGCGAGGGACCTAATTTACCGAAATTAACAATGGGTCATGAAACGCTAAATTTAGTATACGCTAAATGCAGGTCAAAAGTCAGCAGCCAGGCAGCGCAATGTCTATGTTCTACTTTAATGCTACTATTTTTATCGAGCTACTTAATTTTACGAAATTAGTGATGACTCATGAAACGCTAAATTTAGTATACGCTAAATGCGGCAAGACACACGTGTGCAGCAAGCAATGTGACTTGTGCGCTGGCTTCAAGAAGGAGACTCCTCTATGCCGATAAAACCTGATGAAGCAACAGCTTCACTAAACGAGGAAGTGCGAAAGGCCCAGGAGCAAGTTCAGAGACAGAAAAGGTGACGCTACAACCACTATGACGACGAAACGCATGTGAAAGTCGAGAAGTACTCACGTGATAACCGGAACAAGGCTGCTGCTAGTAAGTTCTCTGCTGAGCTTGGGCATGTTGTTACAGTACGGACTATGAAGTAGACTTTGCTAAAGAATGAGAAAAACCAAAAGCCTGCTGCGTGCTGCTAGGGGGAGACAGTGGGGACGTGACAAGGATGTAGCTAGTTACATTTAAAGTTCACGAGTGGCTGGAGGTCAATTGCAACCTTGTCATAGCTGCACCTTAAGGCATTGTATCCTACAAAAATCCAAGAGCTTGGTGGTCCTCTTAGCCTTGAGAGATCATGGGTAGATTCATTTCTTCGTCGCCTTGGATACGTAAATTGCAAAGCTGCACGAAAACTGGCAGAATATTCTGTGGTGGCAAAATTGGGATGGTCTATTACACTGGCTCAACTGGGACCAAACTGGGTCTAAGTTAGCCCCAGTAGTGAGTGGACTATGGAAAGGGGAGGGCAAGAAAAGTGTCAGTTGTGGGTAAATAAGACAAAAGGAAAAGGAAATCACTGTGCTATTGTCAGTTGCTGTATCAGGTGACAAGCTTGCCCAACGGGTGATGTATCAGGATGGTGCCATGCCATTCCCTGAGGATTGGTATGTAGGGAGACACATTGGTTTACAGAGTTGACTATGCCAAAGTATATCGACAAGGTTCTTGTACCTTATGTTACCCAGACAAGGCAAAAGCTTGAGCTTTCCATGCCCTTGCTTTGTTTGATGTCTTCAAGGCTCATACATGTGACACTGTCCTTGGGAAACTACGTCAAATTATATGCAGCAGGTGTTCATACCAGTTGGATGCACTGGGGAGTTGCAACCCCTTGACGTTAGGGGTTGCAACTCGGAGGGTGTTTGAACAACCGTTAGTCTGTCCAGGCCCTGTACGTCATCAATGCTTTTGATGCCCATGATGAAGAAAAGGACTTTGACCACTCATAACATTCACCGCTGAGACCTGAACACTTGGTTCAATATAGCCGAATTTTTGGGGCTATCTCTCAATTGCGATTGCATTGCAAAGTGTCCCGTTTCAGGTAACAAGGAGTGAGCCTTGGTTCAGTGTATTCAAAGAGCACTTGGATATTCTTCATCGTCTCTAGAGCTGCAATGTGCATGTATGTAACCTCAAGACGGCGTATATGGGGGGCGGCGGCAGACTTTGCTTCCTTCTGGGCACAAACGTCGGGAGTCGACATAGTTTAGTAATCCGTCAGTCTGAAGTTGACTTAACTTTTCTTGGCGGCATGAACCGTTGAGGGAAAACTCGCGTCAACGACTAGCTGGGATGAAGGTTGCATGAGTTCCGAAGTCGGCTTGACTTTCAAAGTCGTGATGAACGAAGTCAGCTTGAGCAGCGAAGTCGGTGTGAGTTTTTGAGTTTCCAAGTTGGCATAAACTTTTGAAGTCGGCTTGCGTGTCCAAGTTGGTTTGAACCTGACTTCGAAGTCAGTGTAGGCATTCCAAAGCCGACTTCCGATGACTGCTGAAGTAGGGTGGATTACATTTTTTGGTAGGTTTGGCATTCCATACTCGACGAGCTTCGAGATGTACACTCTTGGAAGGAGTTTCCACTACTCCTGAAGAGTTGTTCATTGTTAGAAAAAGCCATGGATCCAAGTTGTCGCCATAATCCGTCCCACAAATGCTCAATTGAGTTGAAGTCTTGACTTTGTGCCGGGCAATCAAGGAGTCTAATGTCATTTGCGAGTCATCCAGTTCCTCGTGAACTTGGCAACTGGCATTGTCCTGCTGAAAGATGTAGTCCTCCAACCCCAGGGAATGGACACTCGCTGGTAGAGCCTTGCACAGGAGTGATACGTTCTGAAGCGCAAAGGCGGCCAGTCACCGGAACCAGCTCACCGACGCCGCTCTCACTCATGCAACCCCACACCATCACACAGCCGCCACCGTGCTTCAAGGTTGATTGGATGCAATCGAGCCTGTATGCCTCTCCAGTTGTACACCTAACAACGGACGACGATCGCTACGATACAGAAGAAATTGAGATTCATAACTGAAAATTACTTTGTTCCAATCAGATGCCGTCCAATTGCGATATTTTACAGCAAACTCGAACCTGTTCTGGCAGTGCTTGAGTCCTTTTTGCGAGCCCTGTAGGCTTTCAGCCATACTTCTCACAGTCTCCGCTGCACTGTAGATACCGAAATCTTCAAATTAGTATATAAGCAGGCACTGATCTGAGGAGCCATTTTACGTTCTATCAGCTAGTGATGTGCGGGTTGTGGTTCTGTCTTGGTGTTGTGTGGTGACTCTTTTCCTTCCTGGGATGGGTTTATATCAGGATGTTAAACGTGGTTAACGAGAGAGCCAGGGTGCGTGGCATCACAGCAGGACGTGCGCATGTGAGGGGCTCGTGCATGCGCACGGCATGTCCGCGTGGCAAGGTGTCAGTATTGCACGTGTTCAGTCGGCTACAGTTGCTGTCACTGCGCCAGTTTTTGAAGTCTACTGATTCGAAGTCGTCTCACGCCGTACTGTGTTCTCCGCTGGTTGTCAGTCATCTCCTAACTCCTCTCCTGCCTGTCACACACTTGGCAAGACCGCTGCAGGTGTCATCCTTCGTCTGCTCTTAACCATCTGCACTCTCCTCCTCCCTTGCCCCCATATCTTCAGATGATCAGCGCCGAGATATATAGACGCCGTGCACGACAGGGACCACCGATCACTTCCACCCGATGGCGCCAGACCCCTCCGGTGAGTGGGGGGGACATGGTATATACAGGGGTGCTGAGCATAGGCATAAAAAATTATATAATGCCATGGTTTCGGGGCTCGCCTTCTGCCCGCTGCCGTTTACCCCACCCCCTCCCCTTCCAGGCCACTCCGGTGAGGCACTTGGCGATCAGCTAGATCCCACTAGTCTGCCTCCTTTACCGACATTTACCCCTGCCGGGGGGCCGTCATTGTCGGGCCTGGACGTACTGGCCGCAGCCGCTGCCGACCACCTGCCAAAATCAAGAGACCCGCCCAGCGATGTTCATGGGTCGCTTCACAGCCAGGGCCCGTACAATCCGGCTGCCTCTCTACCACCCAAGGTGGTAAAGAAGATCCTGGCGTTGTTAGAATTCGTCGAGATGTCGGAGCTCCGGGGCAACATCTGACCGGACGACTCCACTACCGACGCCACAACCCAGGTCGGCGAACTCCAAAGCCGCCCGTCATCTCTTTGAAGTCTCGGCTGGAGTGCTATGTGTGAATGGCAGCCGTTTTGGTACTGTGTTTTCCCGAGGAGGCCACCGAACTCTGGGCCTACCAATCGTGGCCGCGCACAGCTATTGGGGGGGGGAGAGTAAGAAGGACCCCGTACCCAACACCCGCCTCTATAACGAAGCCTTTACAGGCCGGGCGTTCTCGATTCCACGGTGCCCACGGCCGTTCCTGGTGCGACAAAAAGGATTCTAAGCGCCCGCAATTTCATGCGCGTAATGCGCGCGTATTGAAACATTTGAAGCTGGCGGGCTTCGGCAAAAATAGTGTTTTTTAACTTATCATTTTTATAAAAACTATAGTTATGATCGATGAGAAAATAAATAACATTGTCAAACACACAAATAAACAAACGATTCTAAAAACCGCGCACAAAAATACACTTCCCCGCGGGACTGCGCAAGCCAGCTGCAAGGTCGCCGCACGGGGAAGCCGCAAAAGTGTCCGCGTTTACTCCGGTCCCACCACAAAGAGGAAGTTTTCCTTTGACACCCGACTCCACCAAGCTCTTCGGGGAAGTCCCTGCTGCCCGCTAGTCACCGCTACTCTGTGCTAATTGTAAGAATGCAACAAGCAGGGGCCCACAAAAGTTACCTACGCGAGCGCTGCAGAGTGTGCTTACAGACACTAGGACGGGTACACTATTCATGCAAGGGTGAAATGTGCAAGCCACTCTTCTCACACTGCTTAGGGATAGACACCAATCTTGACAGGGAGAACATACATCCACCATCTACCTGCAATAACTGCTATGCAAAAATGAAGAAGATTGAGGCAGGCACTGTAAGCTCTACTCTGATTCCGTTCCCCTTCATGGAGCATAGCACTCGCTGCGCACTGTGCAAGCACTGTGAGAAACAGTCTAAAGGCGGAAGACCACGAAAGGTTATCAAGATTCCCCAGAGCACGTTCCACCACCTTCAAGAGAGTGCTGGTCCGAAGGTCGCATGCGCTCAACTTTCTCTCTCCATTGATCGGTTCTTTCAGCCACCAACAGGATCGGTCTCCTTGGAAGATCTGCAGTGTCCATTCTGCCAGTGCATTGCTAACCAACCAGTGGAGCTGCCCTGCAAAACAACAATGTGCATGAACTGCTTGCTTTGGGTGAGTCACAGAGGGGATAACTGTCTTTCATGTGGTGCTGAGCATGACCCAGGCAGTGCTGTTTCAGTGTCACCCATCTTCAACAAGCTTCTCTTGAAGCTTGTTCTACGATGCATTTGTGACAAACCAGTTCAGCTCGAGAATCTCAACCTCCACATCGCCAGCAGCTGTAAAGGACATGTTGTAGATGCATCACAGGGTCTGACAGTTCAGCAACTTCTTCAACAGCCACTGAACACACAGATCATATCACTGGAAGAGAGGACAGCTGGGCACCTGGTCCGAAAGATGCTTCTACAAGCAGAAAACAACACCATCACTCTCCCCACAGGAGGCCATGTAAGTCCAATATTCATTCATGCACAAAAACATGCACTACAAAAATGCAGCCACTCACAGTCAGCAAGGTAACAAAAGCACATGTTACTTCCGATGAATCGAGTGCTCGCACAAAGAGACGACGGAGTGACGAGATAGAGCAGCACAGGAGTATTTCCAGTGGTGGTAGCAGCCAGACCCAGCTCTCTGATGAAATCAGTAGACTAGGAAAGGCTGAGAGAGAGCAACTGCTACCAAATCGACCTGTTCGCATCCCTGATCTCCCAAGCTTAGCCCTGAAGGCAGACCTCCACCTTCCATGGAACACCTTGCGCAGTCTGAGGAGGTAAAAGAGAGTAGAAAATCATATTTTGCACACATTATACCCCCCTACACACACAAAATATGTAGATGGCTCAAGTTGTGGGGTGTGCAGATTGAGAGTGAGAGAAACCTCAGACAAACCAGCACCCGGCTGGTCTCAACTGAAGTCCTCTGTGAAGCTGTGCCATTTTCCTTCCCAATGAAAAGAGGAGGAGAGGAACTCAGACCAGCTCCCCTTGCATACATTCCACATCTGGTTTCGAAAGTGGAAGAGCTCTTAGACCAGAATGACAGGTCCTGTGCAATATGTATAGATTTATACTCAATACATTATATTAAACCTCATCCACAATAGGCTTGGAAAACTAACTTGGCACAATGGCCTGATTCCAGAGGAAGAGATCTGGATCAAATTGGGGGGTGATAAAGGAGGATCTACATTCAAACTGAATTTCCAACTTTTGAATGTGGAAAACCCCAACTCACAGAAAAACAGCTGCATAATAGCCATGTTTGAGGCCAGCGACACTCTCACAAACCTCCACATTGCTCTGGACCGGTACTCAGAACAAGTATCAGACCTGCAAGAGTTAATGTGGAGGTAGAGACTTAATGCCTACTACACAGTTATGACTGGCTTGTGCACACACAGGGACAAGTCAACCAGAGTTTTCCTGTCAGGAGATTTTGAGTTTCTCTGCCGTGCACATGGAATCTCTGGTGCCAGTGGTAAATTACACATGTGTATAAGGATACATATGCACATTGGCATTCAACTTGTAGGCCGTCATCCCTGCTTGTGGTGCCAAGTGAGACGAGATGAACTGGCAATCCCACCAGAGGAACGGCAGTCTACACCTCAGCTGAGGTCACTGCAAACTCTACAACACAACTACCTGGGCTTCACAACACTGAGTGGCGGGGACCTTCGAAAGGCCAAACAACACTGTAACGTGATCGGAAAATCCTTCTTTTTAATCCCACTAGACCAGGTTATTATACAAAGCATATGTTTCTGTGCAAACCTAAACGAAGCTTTCTCTCTTATAGACATGTCTCCCAGGCCTGCACATAAGCCTAGGTATATTTTATCGCCTCTTCACCCTCTTGGAAGTGGCCTGCAGCCGGCTGGATGTCAAAGCTGCTGAGTTAGCTGACAACCAAGAGCCAGCACGGCAGTCCTCCTATAAGGAGTACTGTGAGTGTCTGAGAGAAATGGCTGAGCTACAGGGGGAAAAGCAACACTTGGAGGAAGAGGCAGCCATTCTAGATCAAGCAGTGACCTTCTTGTCACTACAGACAACATCTACAAACAGCCCAAACCTGTTAAGTCAGATGCAGGATGGAGCAAGGGTGCGAAGAACTCAAATCGCCGACCTTGTAAGGCTTACCGAAATGAAAAGACCATGCAGTACCTTTTACATACATACTAGGAGAGGGGATTAGCTGCCAAACAGCTAGTAAAGGACAGAGGATATGAGAAGGAGGATGGCCAGTTTGTGAGGGCACTAGATGCTGCTCTAGCCTCATTTCATGTTGAGCGCCAGGCATTCTACTCTGGTACATTTATAGGCAATCATGTGCATCGAAGTCTAAAGGTACACAAATTGGACACATATAGAACACATGGAGCTCACAATAAATCTTTTACTTCCTGTAGCCACAAAATATCGACACTTTGTGTCACTCGGTGACGGCTACCGCAGAGGCTCATTGTCCCTCCCTCATCAGTGAAGCAGAGGTCATCAGCAGAGTATTCACCCAAGCCTTCACTCTGTACTCAGCATGTCACCATGGCTGCAATGGGAATTATAAGATGACAGATGAAGAAATTGATTCCCTGAGTATGTATACTAGTGCAAATGCTTGGCATTCTTTGGGCGAGCGGAGCGAGAACTCAAGTACGTATATACAACCATCATCATTACTAGCTATCCCCTGTCCATCTCTTAATCGTCGCTGAAAAGACAAGCCTCTCTGTCGTGAGGACTTTCGACGGCCGGGCTGTCTACCTCTTGGACCAGAAGCAGTATCGTTGCCTTGCCCGCTCTTGATCTCGTAATCATCCCTGAAAAAGACGAGCCTCTCTGTCGTGAGGACTTTCGACGGCCGGGCATACATAGAAAGAATATTCGAGCCGAAGACACGATTCTCTGTCTGTTTTTCTTCGATGAAGAACACTATCCTCCGCAGATGAATCTATCGAAGCCGGACTGTAAGAGGATGGAGAAAAAATTCCGCACAGTATGTCGTATAATAAGAAGCGCGTAATATGAACGCATGCGCACTAAGACGACGTATGGTGTGTCGTATATATATATATAGATAAAAAGTTCGTCCGAAGACACGACTAGGAGGGCTCGCTCCGCTCGCCCAATCACAGAGTCGGTAGACTCTCTATATAGGGACGTCACGGGTGAAATCTGTACAAAATGAAAAACTCAGTGAGAATCACTCCCTAGGCCTTAAAAACATACTAGCAATAGTCTACGGGCCCATATCTACCTATATAAGTGATAATAAGAACATCCCTACTCAGTGTTTATCGCCTATACACACGAAGTAACATTACATAATCCCGAGGGCTTATGTAATGTTACTGAGTGTGTATGCCGATAAGCACGTGGTAGGGATTGTTCTTATGAGCTTGTATCCTGGAAACGGATAATCACCAGGGCAACGTGACGTCAAACGTTTAGTGCCTAGTGCGTTCGCCGTACGCGCAGTCGGCAGTTGTGGCAATGGCGGAGCTAGCGAGAGACCCCAACTTCATATATCCTAAGAAGCGAAAGCGCAGCGATGTTGCTAGTTCTTCTAAGAGGTTTTTGAGAATGTCTGAGGAAGAATTGGCCAGTATCTCGAAACACTAAAAAGAACACCGATTGGGCTCTTACTGTCTTTCGGGAGTGGCGAAGTTATCGTAACGCAACGGTCTCAGAAAGAGAGCGGCAGTGTCAGAGTGATATTTTGGAGAAAGCTAACGTGGAAGAGTTAAATTATTGGTTATCACTTTTTGTAGGCGAAATTCGAAACAAGAGTGGCAAACCGTATTCGCCAAAATCCATCCACCAAATTCTCTGTGGTCTACAGCGCTACATGCTCGATCGCAATCCTACCGCCCCAAAATTCTTAACTAGATTTAACACTGCGTTGTGCATGTGATAATGTTTTTCGTCAACTGCGATCCCAGGGAGTGGAAACGGAGGTCCGTCACGCTCAGGTAGTTACCGCGGATGAAGAAGACCAGCTCTGGTTGTCCTCAGTGATGAATGTGATCACCCCTAAAGGCCTTCAGAGAGCCGTATTTTCCTACGTTGGGAAGGTATTTTGCATTAGAGGTGGGCAAGAGCAACGCCCGTCTAACTTTAGGTTTGTCAGCAATCCTGGTTCTGATCCCCACTGTGTCTTTTACGAGGAGCATGGCTCCAACAATCATCCTGGGGGTCTCAAGGACTTGCTGGTTGAGAACAAAAGTGTTCCATGTTTTGCGGTTACCGAGAATGTTCCTAAGTGTCGTGTTTATTCTTAATCGTTACATGAAACGTCTCCCCCGTTATGCGTTTATTGAAGATATTCTCTACCTTCGGCCTAAGGAAAAGTGCCCAGCTGATCCAGAGAGCTCTTGGTATGAAGAGCGACCTCTTGGAAAGAATACCTTATCGAACATGATGAAGGAAATGAGTCAAGGTGGTATAGCGAAGAAAACAAACCACAGCCTTCGCGCTACTGGTGCTAGTGCAATGTTTCAAGCAGGGGCCCCCGAAAAAATAACCCAGAAAGCTACAGGGCATAAATGAGTTGAGGCCCTACGTACATATGAACAGGCATCGTCAGAACAGTTTAAGTATGTTTCAAAGGTGCTTATGGGAAAGTTGCCAGATTCTCAGAAGGAGAATGCCCATACAACCTTGCAACAGTCAAATGCTTCGACCACTTGTTCTACAATTTTAGGGGATATCACTAACTGTACTATTGGTAACTTTACCATCAATGTCAATCCTTGACTATATATACACTGTACTGTGTAAATTCCTTTCTCATGCTAATTGCATTCCCTGATACACCATTGCGCGTGGGCAGGGTCGAAGAAAACTCTGCTATACAAATCCGCGCATCAACTAATTACATTCCCTATACACTTCCCTCGTTATTGCGCGTGGGCAGTGCGGGTAGCAGCAATACATACCGCGGTGCGCTTTTGATGTTAGGCCTAGCCAGGATACAAGTCCCCCAAGACCTCATACGCACTTGTCCACGAGAGAATTCGCTCGTACGCGATTTCACAATTTTCGTGTCATCATATTCTTCATCTTCTTCAGACCCGCTAGCTCCTTACCGGAAGCACTTGAAGCGTTGATTTCTTGCCGCAAGTCACTACTACGGTAGATCGTTGAGATCTTCCTCGGTAGTCACTGAACAACGCCATTTGCTGCTAACTCAGCATCAGTGAGCCGCATGCGCCGAGGAGGGTGTTTCCAATGCGGTGCGCGCACATTTTGTCTCGTAAACCTGGGACCAGGACTGGATGCCATCAGAGAAAACTACTCTCATCCTCCAGTGCCTTCTGTAATAAGTCAGTTTATATACACATTTGTAAGTGGCTAGCTTGCATTTTGCTGTTGATTTGCACGAGGAGCAACTTGGCAATGTGCGCCGTGTTACGCGTGCCTTGCCAGGCGCCTTCATTCTTTGTCCCCCAGGTTATAGCTATCATTGTAGTCTGATTTCTGAAGCCTGCCCAATGAAACAACCACCATATGTGCCACAACCTAATCGCGTCCTTGTTGGAGACACTACGCATACACCCTGCTTCAGGTAAGAGCAGTCCATTAGCTTCCGCTTTCAACAGTTATCTCTACAACATTCCCATGAACGTCAGAGTGACTGAAAATGCAGTGTTGTCATAAGGCATGAAAAATAGTGGAATCAACATTTCTTAAAAATGAAAGGGGGATATAGGGATGACCAAAAAGGAGGGGTCATTACACACCAAATATGCACAAAGCCACATGACACCATCCCTATATCTTTGTTTTATTAAAGTTTAATATGAGACAAGGATATAGGGATGGTGTCATGTGGCTTTGTGCATATTTGGTGTGTAATGACCACCTTTTTGGTGCTCCAAGTCATCCCTATATCCCCCTTTCATTTTGAAGAAATGATTTTTCCACTTGTATAACATTCACATTATTGTATATAATACTTGCAGGTGTAAGCATCAAGAACTTCATGGCCTTTTACCGGGCAAACTTCACTGAGTCTACAGTGACACCAAAACTCCACATGTTAGAGGAGCATGTGATCCCTTGGCTCCGACAGTGGAGGATAGGGTTTGGCTTCATGGGGGAACAAGGTGTGCATGCCGCCATTAACCACTCATACCTCAACATCCCTGACCGAGTTCAGAGGTTGAAAGGGGTCCACCACAGGCAAATAAATATGCCCAGAACTTACGTCATGTCAACCATGTGTGAAAAGGAGAAAGAAGACTAACTACACTACTACACTACATGCACAGCTTTACCCACACTCTATACCGTGCCGTGCACATAGGCCTAAAAAGAGTGTGACTACTCGCGCACAAAACCGGTTAGCAAACTGGACCTCGTTCAAACAACAGCACTGCTTACCCTATCGGTAGTCAACGGGCCCCAAAAACTCCAGCTTGGCCTCGATGGTGGTGGTTTGCTCGAAAACCTAAATGAAACTTTTCCCTTTTATAACTCGGGCATGCTTCTGCACGGGAGTTGAACGAGCAAGACGCCCTTTCTTCCCTGAACACGCACGTGTTAAAAATGCAAGCTATGCTTTCCTGCGGAACGCTAAACGAACCGTTTAGAAAACGCTGTTACGTTTCCATAGATTCAAGGGCTATCACGTGAGTATCCGTGACGTTTGTTTTTGTCGCAATTTTCAATGCAAGGAAAGAGCCGTGCAGCGTAACCACCATTATAGATCATTTTCGTGCATTCTTGGTGTGT